CACACCATGTTATTTATGAGGTTTCGTGCCCCTCCCACCCCTCCAGGGGGGCCCAGCCTGAGCAAGCAAGGTATTCGCACACCATGTTATTTATCAGGTTTCGTGCCCCTCCCACCCCTCCAGGGAGGCCCCACCAGAGCGGGCAGGGTATTCGCACACCATGTTATTTATTAGGTTTCGCGCCCCTCCCACCCCTTCCAGGGAGGCCCCGCCAGAGCGGGCAGGGTATTCGCACACCATATGATTTATCAGGTTTCGTGCCCCTCACACCCCTCCAGGGAGGCCCCGCCAGAGCGGGCAGGGTATTCGCACACCATATTATTTACCAGGTTTCGTGCCCTTCCCGCCACTCCAGGGAGGCCCCGCCAGAGCGGGCAGGGTATTCGCACGCCATATTTTATTATTAGGTTTCGTGCCGTTCCCGCCCCTCCAGGGAGGCCCCACCAGAGCGGGCAGGGTATTCGCGCGCCATGTTATTTATCAGGTGTCGTGCCCCTCCCGCCCCTCCAGGGAGGCCCCACCAGAGTGGGCAGGGTATCCGTGCACCATACTATTTATCAGGTTTCGTGCCCCTCCCACCCCTCCAGGGAGGCCCCACCAGAGCGGGCAGGGTATTCGCACACCATGTTATTTATCAGGTTTCGTGCCCCTCCCACCCCTCCAGGGAGGCCCCACCAGAGCGGGCAGGGTATTCGCACACCATGTTATTTATCAGGTTTCGTGCCCCTCCCACCCCTCCAGGGGGAGGCCCCACCAGAGCGCAGACAAGAAGCAATGGAACCCCGTAACATCTTTATGTGGGGAACTCCGTTCGCATATTTTTTTTTCAGCCGGAGCGCTGATAGCAGATGATCTCAGGCGTCTAGATACATTTCACTATTGCCAATGATGCTCTGTAGCTCATCTGCAGCACGAGTAAAACCAAGAAACACAGTACCATTTCCAAGAAAGTAGCAGTACGAATCAGTGTTCAGCCCTAGCGAAAATAGCAGACTGAGTGTGGGTGTCTAGATACTTTCAAATAGCGCGCAGAATGATTATCTTCCCATTGCAATGCCTAAGAGCTCTCAAGCTCATCTGCACTTCGAATTCAAACCAGGAAACGAATTCCATCACCAGAAAAATAGCATAATCGGACTAGTTGTGTGGCCTCTGCCCTCATAACAAACCCAAGCCAAGCGTCTGGATACTTCAGACTAGCGCGCCTCATGCGTCTCTTCTAATTCCTGTTCGGAAGATCTCTCGAGCTCATCTGCAGCTCGAGTTAAGTGAAAAACCAGATTCATTTCGAACAAAATCAGTCGCATACGAATAGTTTTGCGGACCTAGCTCGAGTAGCAGACTGTGTTCAGAGCTCTAGATGCTTCAGCCGAACGCGTCTGATGATTCTGGATCGGTTTCTATGCGTACCAGCTCTGTAGCTTTGCTACAGCTTCAGTTAAGTACTGAACACCGACAGCGCCTGTAAAGATGACTTGAAGAATACGAATAGGTTCGCGGACCTAGCTCGAGTAGCATACCGAGTTCAGACCTCTGGATGCAACAGACGAACGCGACTGGTGATACTGTATCGGTTTATGTGCGTACCAGCTCTGTAGCTCTTCTAAATCTTGAATTAAGTACAGAACACCGGCAGTGCTTGTCAAAATCACTCGCAGAATACGGATAGTTTTGAGGGCCTAGCTCGAGTAGCAGACCGAGTTCAGACCTCTAGATGCAACAGACGAACGTGTCTGATGATTCTGATCGGTTTCTGTAAGTACCAGCGCTCTAGCTCTTCTACATCTCGAGTTAAGTACAGAAAACCGCGAACGCGTGTCAAGATGACTCGGAACACAGCCGGTTCCTTCAAGTGTTTTGATAGTAGTATTGCAGCTGCGGACCTGAGAATTGGACTGGCAGACGCGGCATAACCCACTACACGTGAGAAGAATCTGGTTTCTCAAAATGAATGGTCAACTATCTTTCAAATCTTAGCAAAACAGACCCCAGGTCACCACATTGTCTCTTAAGGCCGGGTCTGCCAACTAGCTCCACCCTGCGCCCGAATTCCTCTTAGCTCATCTTGCCGAAGAGCTCTACGAGGTATGAGGACAGGTGATTTTAGATGTGGTTGACACGGTGAAAGAGCAACCCTGTCAACCAGGCCCCAACGCGCTCGGAGTGGATGTTGCATCCAGGGTGTTTTCGCAGATGGCGGTGCCCAGTCAAGGTCTTGCCGCGGGCGCCCGGCCGTTACTAGCTCGGGGGATCGCGGAGCAGATGTCGGATTGCACAGCTATGGCGCGCGCGTCGGGATGTTAGCGTTGCTCGGGGGTAGCCAGAGGAGACGCCGCCCGTGGCCCTCATGGCGCGGAATGTCGAGAACGTATTTTCGAGAGGCTGGACCGACGAGATGTTCCGAACATCCAGGAGAGAGCGGCGGCTCAGATGGAGATGGGGCCCAGTGGTTACCGCGAGGACGAGGACAGGGTGGAACCCTTGACAGACAACTGGGCCGTCAAAGAAGGGGCAGTTATTTGACAGCTCTGCGAACCCATGACCAGTACCCTGGCGAGGTACCCAACCATATGCAGTTGTGACTGTCGTCGATGAATGCGCCGCATTTGGAGGAGCTCCCTGTGGGGTTACCAAGCGTGCGAAGGGTGTGCGGTGGCCGCGCGCGAGCGCTGGCATTTGGGCCTTCGGTGGGGCTCCCTGTGGGGCCGCGAGACGTGGTGTGTGTGTGTGCCAAAATGGGTGCGGTGGCCGCATGCGAACGCTGGCACTGGGACCTTCGGTGCGGCTCCCCGTGGAGCCGCGAAGCGTGTGGGGTGTGTGCTAACATGGGTGCGGTGGCCGCGTTTGGGCCTTCGGTCGGGCTGTTGGGCCCTCGAAGCGCGTGGTGTGTGTGTGTGCCAAAATGGGTGCGGTGGCCGCGTGCGCACGCTGACATTTTTGGCCTTCGGTGGGGCTTCCCATGGGGCCGCGAAGCGTGTGGGGTGTGCGCCCAAATGGGCGCGGTGGCCGCGTGCGAGCGAGATGACGCTCGGACCTTCGGTGGGGCTCCCTGTGGGGCGGCGAAGCGGGCAAGGGGCGTGCCAGGATGGTTGGCTGCTTTGGGGGGCAGAGGCGGGGATTGGGGGGGGAAGTGGAGGGGGGAGGGGGAAGTGGAGAGGAGTGACACAGGGCGCTGTCTTTTTCAAAATGAGGACCCATGATCGCAGGATTGCTGGGCAAACAGACTTATGTGCTCGAATGCATGGGCGTTAGAGCCCCTGGGCGGTTCATCAATGAGAGACGAACGTGTGTATTTATTTTTGAGAAAACATGTGAGATGGAAGACGTCGCCGATGTTCGGAAACATGATGATGGGAAGGAGTTGCGAGGACCTTTGTTAGGATGTGCCTGGCTTCGCATCAATCCGGATAGCAACCGCGCGCGGCTCCCGGCCAACGTTAGTCCGCCAAGGCCCACGCCGATAAAGAGGGAAGCAGAGGCTTCTGGAGGCGACGGGAGGATTGGAGCTGTTAGAGATGAGTGAAGTGTGAACGAGGAAGCAGCAACAGAGAGGCCCCCAAGTCTTGAGGGGGTAGGGGGCCCGACGACGATCACATGACAGAACGTGCACTCGAGCAATTCGGTGACGCGCGTGGCAATCTGGACACCGATGTGGTTCGCACCAGCCCGCGCATGATGGGGCTGTACACTGATGTAGTGGAGTGGTGAATCAGCGACGGTTTGTAAGTCGCCGGACAGGAGAATCAAATGCGGAGAGCGTCATGATGATGCGGCAGAGGTCAGCACAACGTGTAGGCGCACGCTCCTGGGGCCTCCTCGCCAGTCCGAGTGGCTGGCATGGCGGAGAGAATGGGAATCATTCCAGGGGCAGCTAGGGGCACTGCGTGCGATGAATATTTGGGAAGCCGTTGCGCTTGCATTGTGCAGCGGCAACGAATTTGATCATCGAGAGCGCAGCAGCCTTAATGTCACTTGCAAGTATAGTGCGCGCATCACTTAGCAGGTTATAAGCCTGCAGCTTGGAAAGACGTGGTTTAGACAAGATGATGGATATGTTGTTTTGCGTGGCTCAGCGCTTCAATCTCGCGCTACAAGCATGTGAGACTCACAGAAACAATGGGTCGTATATTCTCTTCGAAAACCCTGCGCGAGCTTCGAGTTTTGCCCGTCGCATGTGCAGATAATGTTTAAGCGCGAAAGTGTGCAGACATCTGATGGCGATCTGTGCTGTTATGTCTTCAAGCAGGTTGCGAGAGGAAAGCAGGTGCGTTTAAGGACTTCCGACGGTTCATGATCATCGGGCCCTCGCATCCCAAGGGCCCTCATCGTCGCGTGTCGATGTCGGTATCGGCGCGGCGAGTCTTGTGGGGGCCGGGCGAGGATCAGAGGTATATCTGGACGGACTATGTCGGGATAATCTTGAGCGTTTGGTGCGCCGGAGAACTGCTGACGACCGATTCGGGCGCTCGCGCAGAGCTAGTGATCTGGGGCTGAATTGAGGGGAACTGGACGAAATCACAAAAAATCACGGGGTCAGGTACGAGCGAAATGGGGGCAGCAATGGGCCCTTGTTAGTTGAAGGCTAGCCAAATTCTGGCACGTCTCTTCCAGTGCTCCCAGGGAATTCAGGACCACTCTGGATTTCATGCCCGCGCGCAGACTTGAACGCCAGACACGCTTGGGAGGAAATTGAGGGTTCTGACATGTGAGTAGGAGCGGATGGGAGAGTTGAGATGCGGAGCGCGCAAACTCGCCACTTGCATCAACCACCGCGTTGCCCGGGACATTCAGCCACATCGGTGAGTGGATCTGTGGAGCATGCCGAGCCAGGGATGGTTTGTGATTCCAGGGGCATGCGAGGTCTGTGCAAGTGATGCAGAAGTGCACCCAGTTACCGGGGATGACATTCTGGGGTCGTCGTGGTAAAGAATGGGCGTCGTATCAGGAAGGGAACTTGATGCAGGACTCGCTTTGAAGGCTCGGGATTAGGAGATGGCGCAGGCTCGGAAACACAAGGTCTACGAGAGAGTAGTGAAGAAGGAGTGCTCCGCTATTTCAGGTAAAGCTCCCACGAGGCCAATCTTGAGTGCCGATCCGTGCTTATGGCCCAGCAAATGGAGTACAACCTCAGAGAGCGGAGAATCTTCGTAGTCGCCTGTCAATTGGAATTTGACGACGAGATAGGGTGCAACCGAGGGGGGCGTGAGAAAGGATTCGAACCGGGGTTTATAAGCTTCGCGCGGGCTTACTTGTGCACCAGTGCGAAACAGAACATCTTCTTCGTGCTTCCCGGAAAGGGTTGCCGACCGGGTGTGTGTGCGCGTGCGTGTGCGCGTGGAAATTTAGTCGAGGTTCTGCGCCCGGGGCGCCGCCAGCAACTGGGAATCTTGTTACATGGGCATTCTGACGTGATGTAGTTGTTGAAAATGGAAAAACATCGCTCTGTGTGGTTGAACATAAGACGAGGAAGATCTTGCTAGCGGTGGCGAGGATGATGTCGCATTATAGGGTAGCGCTGCTGATCTTATCGTGTCTGAGGTTCAACCGATAATGAGCTCGAAGTTATATTCCGGGGGGGCTCGGGCCAGGGCCAACATATTTGAAGTAAGGCAGGGTTCTTAATTTGAGTTCTGGAATGTAGCAGGGGCAGATAATGGTATGAGCCAGATCAAAAACACGTTGAGGTGTTCGTCAAAGGGTCAGGCCTGGGGCAGTATAAAGTGAGATGTGATATACGAGGTCGAAGCTTCTTTGGGAAGAAAAAATGAGGCCCCTCTGTCAAATCATGAAGTTAAGTAATGCCAAGTGCGAGTGACCAGGGCGCATGTTTGTTTGCCACATGACCGCCTGGGTATACTCTCTTCAGGTCAAGAACTCGCCCGATGCATGTTTGTGCCAATTCGGGGGGCGTGGACAAGCCTCATCGTGTTAGGGAAATGCGTCAGAGCCGCAGCAGTTTAGGGAAGTAGTATTTTAGCAAGAACGTCACGTGGAGTTAACTGTAGGGGCAAACGCCGATTTTGAATAATGCAGGAGGACGCGTATTTCGTCAAGCTAAGTAACAGTCAGGGGGGGGGGGGCGCAATCGATAACTCCGTGGAGTTCGATCTGGAGCGTAGCGGCGCTATCTTTTGGAGAAGCGGAGTATTGCGGGATGGTTAGAGGTGCTTCAGTATCGTTAGGTCCGGAAGTGGCTTTCAAGGACTTCGATATGGATTGTGGAATTCCGTTGCAGAGCGATGCAATTTCAGCCGCTGTCATTTCGAACTGCCGCGGGTTCAGAAGGGTCAGACACATCGAAGTTTGCCAGCTTTGGTTTCAAGAGAAGGTACCGCGAGGAGGCGTCAACGTGATCGGAGTTGGAACTCGCTTGGATGTTGCAGATGCTCTGACTGTATGAGCAGCAACGACGTTTCCGTGCGTATGCGAGGTGCCAACCAACATCTGGTTAAAGGAAGACGTGACTTTGCGCCTGCTACGGAGCGTTGTCAAACTGCGCCATATTCAGTGTCTCATCGCGGGCAGCTCGCCCGGGGTTTGAGCTCAGGATCAATTTAGATCCAGGTGATTGTTTGTGAGTTTTTTATGTACACCCGTGCTATTGACATGTTCATTACCTTTATGCATGTCTTGGAGCGTTGCGACGATTCAAACAGTACGTCGCGTTGTAGGATGCCTCTGCACGTTTGCGGCCAAACCTTAATCGTTTTGTGTTTGCCTTTTTTTTGGTTTGCTGGTGGGGGGTAGCACCTGACATGCTCTTCAAGTTCTTGCCAGTAGACGTTTTTTTTCGGTGTGCTCGATACAGATGCTCCCACCCTACTTCCAAAACTTGCGAGGGCGAGCGAGTCAGCTGGCCCCGCCTGTCCGCACCTTCCCTCTTTCAGCATGATAGTAACATGTGGCACAACTTGATCTTGAAATCCAGAACGCGTTCTCGCCTTGCGAGCGCAAGGCGCTCGCGCGCGGCCCCCGCTTCTGACATAATTGGGGAAACGGCAGCTGCGCGGGCCGCGCAAAAAGTGGGAACGGCTGGTCAGGACATCTCTGCGCGGCGTTGCGGCGGAAACGCAATTCATGTTTCTTTCCGCGAGTAAATTTCCGACGGGCGCGGCGCAAATGAATCATGCTTCGCTTCGGAACAACGCTCGCATTTTCACGCGTAAGCTCCGCGGCGTCTGGGCGATCAAAGCATTTCGCCGGGTCTCGCTCGGCTTCGCTGCCGCTTCCGCATTGCTGCGCTTTGGCGGGCGACACATTCGCTGCGCCCACGCGAGAACGCCATTTCCCAGCGGGGTGCACGGGGCTTGGGCAGGGCGACGAATCTTCCGCTCGCGCGAGGCCCGAAAACTGGCTAGTGAAGTGTGTGCGTCGCGTCGAGTCGGGAACGCCATTTTCAGGTGAAATCTGGTCGGCGCCGAGTCAACATTTTCGCCCGCTCGCGCGTCGACGGATTGGCGTGCGAAGGGAGTGCGCCCCGCTGGAGTGGTAATACAAGTC